CCGCCGAGCCCCGCACCCCGCCCCGCTCCCCGCCCGGCGCTGAGCCCCCGCCGCAGGTACGATCGCGCTCCGGGCACCGCGGAGGGGAGGAGGATGAGGATGAGGAGGATGCTGCCACCGCCGGGGGAGGGGGGACCCTCCCGGGAGCTCCTTCTTCACCACCCCCGGGGGTGCGGGGGGTCCCTTGGCACCTGCAGCCCCCCACACAGGGAGCGGGTCAGGAAGGGACGTGGCCCCGCTGCACCCCCGGGGGCTGTGAGGAGAGGGGACTTCCCCTCTGCCCGGTGGGTGCCAGGGGGGTGGCCGTCACCCGCCGTCCCTCCGCACCCCGGACGGGTGTCCTGACCTTGGCCGTGGGGCGGGGGCTGCGGCGGGGACGTGCTGGGTGTCTCTGCCCGGCTGCGGTCACCTCCGGGGACACACCAGTGTCCCCGTGGTGCGGGGGGGGGGGCCCGAAAGGGTTGCATTGGGTGGGGGGTGCAGGGCGTCCCCATCCCGGTCCCACGCCGGCGGTGCCACCGCCCGGCAGCCACCCGTCACCCCGGTCCCCTTGGCGRGGGGCTCCCGATCCCCATCATGAGAAGTGACAGTCCCCACCCCGGGGGATGACAGTCCCACGRCCTCGTGGGGCTGAGGTGTGGGGTGGCCAAGCCCAGGCTATGCCATTGCGTGGTGTTTTGGGGACTAGGACGGTGTGACCCCCTCCCTGAGGTGCCAGCAGCTGGGACCACAAATTGTCCCCGATGTCCCCAGGCACTGCTGCAAGGGCTCGTTCCCTGCCTAGCATGGAGAAACCCTGCAGCCAGTGGACACCTCCCCTTCCCCATGCCTTTGTCACCCTGCTGTCACCACCTCCCCCTGCCAGGGTCCCCGTGTGCCCCCATCCCCACGATGTTACCGCACCCASGGTTTTGATCTGCTGGGTGCTGGGGCCACCCCGCTGGTGTCCCCGCCTGCTCCAGCTGTGTCCCCAGGCAGGGGTGGTGGGGTCCCTGGTGCTGGTGGCACCGCTGTGGAGCTGCTCCCCGGGGTGGGGACTGATATCAGCCCCCTGCCAGGATCCCCACGGCTTCCTCATGCACGGGAGGGGGGAACCATGGCACCGGCCTCAGCTTGGGGACCACAGCCGTGTCCACTCCTGGGGACACCTTTGGGAGCTGCCATCAGCCCGGCTGGGGGGGTTGATGGGTGCTGGAGGGRCACAGTGACAAGATGGAGCTACCAGCAGGATGTGACCCCCCCAAACCCGTCAGGCATCGGTGGGCTCCACTGAGGAGTGGCTGTGGCAGTGCCAGCACCATCTGCAGGGGGACAAGTAGGGATGGCGATCCCACGGGAGCCCGTSTCCTGCCAGCAGCCGTGGGGACAATGACCCACATCCTGCCAACCCACCCACGCTGCCCCGGCACTGGGGGCTCCGGGGACTGCCCCCCGTCGCGACGGTGCCAGTGTGCCGCTGCCAATTGCCACGGCGGCTGGGACCGAGCCCTGCCTGCAGCGCTGGCACCGCTCCCACTCCCCGAGCCCCGGGGTCACCATCCYCTGGCGGTGGCACTGACATCCCTCACCGCCGCCATCCCCGAGCCCACCGCGCCGCGGGAGCCTCTGCCCCGCGGCCCCTCCGTGCTATTCCTGGCAGGTTTGGGGCTGGAGGGGGGATACACGACACCCCGGCAATGCCAGCAGCCCGGAGACCTGGCACCCCGCCGGCTGCATCGGGGTCACCCCGGGTCCCCCAGCCGTGCCGGCGGCCAGGCAGCGTGGGGGGCCCAGGGGACCCCAGCCTGGCCGGTGGAGATGGGGGGCTCCCCCCGCGCCCGGGCTCCATCCCAGCGGCCCCCACCCGGACTGGGAAGCCCCTGGGCCCAGCCCCGCGCCGGACTGGTTTGAACTGGTGTGGCGGGGGGGAAGCTGGGCTGGGGCCGGGCTGGCAGCGCCTGGCGCGGGCAGGAGAGGCCATGGGGGGAGAGCAGGCAGGGGCAGGCAGGAGCGGGCAGGGGCCTCGCGCGGGGGCCGCAGGTGCTGCGGCGTCCGGCCAAGCCACCGCAGGGCTTGTCCCCGTCCCCATCCCGGCGGGGCCCCCGCGGCGCCCCGTTTCCCGAGGCAGCGTGGTTTGGCAGCCGCCCGCTCGCCCGCCCGCGGCCGCGCTGGGAGCCCTGGCGTCAGCGGCCGGAGGCCYCTTTCCCACCCGTCCCGCCCGGGGATGGCTGCGGTCCCCACCCGGCACCGCCCGCACCGGGACCCCCCAACCTCCCGAGCCTGAGGACGTGAGGACACGACCGTCGTGGTGGGACCAGCCCTGACGCCTTGTCTGGCCCCAGCGTGGGACCCCCGTCGCTGGGGGGCTGCCAGCACCTTGTCGCACTCCCTGCGCTGGGGGTCCTGCTGTGACACCCCAGCTGGGGGGGTCCCGCCCCATCTGTCTGTCTGTCCCCGAGCTGTGCCACCAGGCTGTGGGGCACATGGGGTAGCTGGAGGCCGAGAACCATGGGGAGGCTTCAGGGTGGGGACACCCCGTGGGCCCATCCCGCAGTGGGGCGCAGGGTGAGGATCCCGCAGACGGAGGGGGTCCCACTATGGGGCAGGCCCCCAGGGCCAGGGGAGCTCAGGAGAGACTCCGTGTCCTCGCAGCAGATGCGACCCTGCGATGGGGCAGCTCCCACCGCCGTGGGAAGAGGTGGATGCTCAGGCAGTGACCCCTCCCACTGGAGAGGAGGGACCCCGCTATGGGGCTGACCCCATGGCCACGGGGGCTTAGGGTGACGAGATGCTGTGGGGCAGCTCCTCCCACTCTGGGAGCCCGGGACAGGAACTCCCCCCTGGGGCCGGCCCCTCGGCCAGCACAGGGGTGCAGGCGGGGGGTCCCCCGCCCCGCCGCTCGGGCCCCATGCCCCCCGCGGCTCCTCCGCATTCCTCAGCGTCTGAGCCGGGCTGGACCCCCGCCAGCGCGGGGGGCCCCTCCGGCGGGGCAGGGCGGGGGACGGGCCCCCCGGGGCGGGGTGGGGATGGAGGGGCCCCCCCGCTGCCACGTGTGCTGGGTGCGCCCGTGCCCCCCGACACGGCCCCTCGGCCGCCCCCACCCTGCCCCGGGCGATGCGGGTGGCCGCGGGGGCACWGCCGGGGGACCGCATCGGCTCTGGCTCGGGCGCTCACTGCTGCACCGAGCTGCCCGTTTTCAGCTGCCCGCCAGATGTGCGGCGGCCGGGCCACCAGGGTGGCATTGTGTTGTGCCATTCCGTGCCATTCCATGCCACGCCGTGCGGCCGGCAGCCCCTGCCCGGCCCCGGCAGCGGCGGCGTTGGCCGGCGGGGAAGGGGCCCCGGCGGGGGAGGAAGCTCTGCCGCCTCCGGGGCTGGGGCCAGCGGGCTCGGCCGCCCGGGTCACCGCCGGGCTGGTGGCCGCCACCGCCCTCCTCTGCCGCTGGGAAAGGCCTCGCTGGGGCAGGCCCGCGGGGAATGACGGACGGACGGATGGATGGACGGACGGATGGGGGGGAGCGCGGAATGGGGACACCACAGCTCCAGCGCCGCGGGTGCCCAGGGGATTTGGCAATCCCCGGCAAGGTTTGGTCACGGGCCAAGGGGCTGTGCCGGCGACACGGAGAGGACACACTGGGGACACCGAGGGGCCGGGGGGGGGAGCCGGTGCCGTGCCCTGCCCTTTGCCCGCTGCGGGAGGGGGCCGCGGCAGGGTGGCCGGAAGGGACGGCGCGGTTCCCATGCCAGCACCGTGTCSTCCAGCGCCGAGCGGAGCGGGCATTGCCATGGGGCCGGGCTGGGGGGATGCTCTGCGTGGCACTGGTGTCCTCCACCCGTGCAGTGACCCCTGGGTGTCTCCCGCAGAGCCCACCCCGGCACCATGCATTCCCTGGAGGAGCCCCTGGACCTCAAGCTGAGCATCTCCAAGCTGCGAGCTGCCCGCGAGAAGCGGGGCCCCTCCGGCCCCCGAGCCCGCGCTCCCCAGCGCCCTGACACCCCGCCGGCCGGGGATGGCCGAGGGGGCAGCCGGGGGGGTCGCCGGGCCGTGCCAGCCTCGCCGTCCCCCGGGCTCCTGGGACACTCCAGGCTAGCGGAGCCGCGGGATGGACGCTTCCCGGCCGCCGTGCCGGTGGTGGACCTCAGCCTGTCGCCCCGCTCCGGGGGGGAGTCTCCGGCTGGCAGTGCCTCGCTGTCCCCTGAGCGCCAGGGCAGCGGCGACCTGCCCGGCCCCCTCACCCCACACGTAAGTACGGCCGTGACYCCCCCGGCCCGAGGTGTCCCCAGCGATGGGGACTGTGCCTGGACAGTGCTSCCGACCTCGGCAGCGTGCCCGGTGCTGCCGGTGTACGCACAGCCCGGGGTCAATGTCCTGCCTGCCCCTCCCTGCCCCCGGCCCCAGAGGCATCACCGGGGTGGCTCCTGGGAGCTCTGTCTGGGRTGTTTCTGGGGCGTCTCTTTGGGGTTTTGGGGTACCGGGGGGTGGTGAGTCTAGGGGGTTTCTGGGGAGCATGGGGAGATCTCTGGAGGGGGAATCTTTGGGTGGTCTCTGGGTGTCTCAGGGAGATTTTGGGGTTGCTGGGGGGAGTCTCCGGGAGGCCTTGAGGGGAGTCTCTGGAGGGTTCTGGAGTCTCTGGGGGGGTTCTCCATCCAGCTTTGCCCCTGTCCCCCACCGCTCCCCCATCTGGGTTATACTGCAGGATTTCCAGTCCCTGCGCTACATCGATGGCCTCCCCAGCTCCTTCCAGTTCTTCCTGCCGCTGGGGGCTGGGGGGGCCCTGCACCTGCCCCCCGCCGCCTTCCTGCCCCCCAGCAAGGAGAAGCGGCTCCCCCCTGAGCTGCCCCTGCCCAAGCAGCTCGTCTGCCGCTGGTCCAAGGTCAGCAGGGAGGGCTGGGGGGTCCTGGGGTGTTACGGTGGGAGTGTTTAGGGGCCTGGGGGTGGTGATGGGAGCTGGGAGATCACATGGGCATTGCAAGAAGGGGGGCACGCAGGGGCCTTTTGGGGCTGGGGAGAGGATATGGGCCTAGAAGGCCATGGCAGAGCTCTGTGGGGCCAAGCTGGGGCAGTGGGGCTGGAATGGGGATGGTGGGGATTTGGGGGCTCTGCAAAGACGCTGGGGGGTGATACAGGGCTGGGGGTCATGCAAAGGGGACAGTTCCCTTTCCACAAATGCTGGCGCTGCTGAACACGGGGTGTGGGTGGGAGGTGGTATGGGATGGAAGGCAGGGGCTGACCCTGGTGGGGAGACTGGCCCCCCTGGTGCCCACCCTGCTGGGATCCCTCACCCCCAGCCTCCTGCCCACAGTGCAACCAGTTCTTCGACCTCCTGCAAGACCTGGTGGACCACGTCAATGACTTCCATGTCAAACCTGAGAAGGACGCGGGGTACTGCTGCCACTGGGAGGGCTGTGCCCGCCATGGCAGGGGCTTCAATGCCAGGTAGGCATAGGGGGCTCCAGGGGGTCTGTGGGGGGCTGCTGTGGGGAGGCAGGAGTCCAGCACTGGGGCTGTACAGGGGGAGCCTCAATCCATCCACTCAGCCATCCATCCATCCATCCCCCTCTCCCTCCCTCTTGTGCAGGGGATGAGTTCCTGGGGGCTGAATGACTCTGCTGGCTTGGATGTCCCTGTCCTCCACCCCATAGCCAGGGCACGGGGACAAGGACTTGCCCTGGAAGTCAGGGCTGACCCCTTCCCTGACATTCCCTCCCTGATGCTTCCACAGGAGATGGTGATAGGATAAAAACTAAAAGAGGAGAGATTTAGATGGGATATTGGGAGGAAATTTTTCCTCCTGAGGGTGGGGAGGCCCTGGCACAGGGTACCCAGAGAAGCTGTGGYTSMCCCTGGATCCCTGGAAGTGTCCAAGGCCAGGCTGGACGGGAGCAGCCTGGGACAAGTGGAAGCTTTAAGCTCCCTTCCAACCCAACCCATTCCATGACTCTGCTGTTCCCCTGATCCCGACAGGTACAAGATGCTGATCCACATCCGGACRCACACCAACGAGAAGCCGCATCGCTGTCCCACCTGCAACAAGAGCTTCTCCCGCCTGGAGAACCTGAAAATCCACAACCGCTCACACACAGGTCAGCACAGCCCCTGCACCGCGCTCATGGGGGAGCGGTGGGCTCGGGGGACACGGGGGACACTGCGGGGCTGGTGCCCCCCGGCCGACCCGGTGCTGTCCCGCAGGTGAGAAGCCCTACATCTGCCCCTACGAAGGCTGCAACAAGCGTTACTCCAACTCCAGTGACCGCTTCAAGCACACCCGCACCCACTACGTGGAGAAGCCGTACTCCTGCAAGATGCCGGGCTGCCACAAGCGCTACACCGACCCCAGCTCCCTCCGCAAGCACATCAAAGCCCACGGGCATTTTGTGTCCCCCGAGCACCCCGAGATGCTCAAGGTCCACCCGCCTCCCAAAACGCCCCTGGGCTCGGCGGAGGTGCCCTACGTTAACGGGGCACAGCTCGTCATCCCCAACCCCGCCGCCCTCTTCGCGCCGCCGGGGCTGCCGGCGCTGCCCATCCCTCTGGCACCGGCGCCCCTCGACCTCAGCGCCCTGGGCTGCGGGGCCGCGGGTGCCCTGCCCGCMCTGCCCGGCCCCGTCCTGCCCCTCAACGGCGGCCCCTTGAACTTGGCCAAGAGCCCGCTGCTGCCCTCGCCCTTCGCGGCGGGGCTGGGGCTGCCCGTCATGTCGCTGCTGGCCGGCGGGGCCAAGGCCGAGGGGGAGAAGGGCAGCGGGGCCGAGGGGCGGCYGCCCAAGGCGGGCAAGGGGCCAGAGAGCCGGAAGGAGAGAGGCGAAAGGACGGAGCCGGGGCGGCCGCGGGTGCCCCCCGAGAGCCTGGCGCTGTTGCCGGGGGCCGTGCTCGACCTCTCGGCTGGCGTCAGCTCAGGGGGCAGCCCCGAGGCRCTGCCTCCCGGCTGGGTGCTCATCCCTCCCGGCTCCCTGCTGCTCAAACCCGCCGCTGTCAACTGAGGGGCCCGACGATGCCCGGGGCCAGCCGCCGGCCCGTGGGCAGATCCCTCTCCCTGGGGACGGGGGGCATCACCCCCTCCTGCCCCCGCAGCCCCGGCGGGTCCTCGCTCGTGCTTTTACCCGTCACGAAAGAAGAACGGACTCTTCTGAGAAAAGCAATAATCCCTCGGCGGCCGGAGCCGGCTGCGACACTGCGCTGGGGGCAGGTGGGGCACAGGGGGGTCCCCCCAGCCCTGGGCAGCCGGATACGCCGCTATTTATTTSTCGACCAGCCCCCTGCTCCGACAGGGTCCTGCTTGGGCTCTCCTGCTTCCGCTGACTCGGCGTCTCCCTGCCCCAGGGCTCGGTGCTGCCGTGGGGGCCCGCAGCCCCCGGGCTCTCGCCGCACGGACAGCGGGGTGACAGCCGGGGGACTGGCCGCTCCCGCAGCCCCGAGCTGTGCCCGGCYGAGCCATCCCTTCCCAGGCGGCTGGCAGGGCCCTGGCGGTGCCACGGGCGGTGCCATGGCCACGGCACCCCGCGCCGGGCCCAGCTGGCTGGGCATTCCCGCCCGCGCCCTCCTCGCTCCCTCCCCACGGCCGCCTCCCCGGCCCTCCCTGACAAGGCACACGGCCGCGTGTGCTGCTCGCCGGGGCACAGCGCCCCTCTAGCTACGTTCATACCTAACCACGCACCGCGAGCAATGCGGGCACGGCCGGCACGGGCTGCCGGGCACCCCTCCCGTTCCTCGGGATGCCCCCGGGTGAGCCCCCGGCCGCGGGGCAGCGTGCTCGGCCTCGGCGCGGGCGCAGCTCGGAGCCTCTCCGGGGGTCACTGGCACACCCCGCTCGCTCCGAGCCCAAGGGGCCCGTTGTGCCCCGCAGGGAGCCGGTCTCCCTGCCCTCACCGGCGGCCGCCCGGCGCTGCCCCAGCCCAGCATGGCCGCGGGCCCTCGACCAGGCCACCCCGGCCGGTGAAACGTCTCCTCGCTCCTCGTCGGTTTGTTGTTGCACATTCCAGGACATCAGTATTTTAACGGTCTCGAAGTGCCTTTCTATTGTAGTTTCTGGGTTGTTTTTATTTTCCTCCTGTTGGGCTCCATCGCTGTTAGCGTAGCGTGTAAGGACTGCACAAGTACGAGATAAGCTAACGACTGTAACACTATATTCGTCCAGGGGAGAGGAAGTTTATTAAGAAAACAATAAAGTGAAGTTGAAGTAAGTTCCTGTTTCAGTCCCGTGGTCGTGGTGGCAGCGGTGAGGAGCCCACGCTGGGGACAGAGGGGCAGGGGGGGATGGGTGTGACCTCGGGGGCACAGCTGGCTCTGTCTGATCCCACACTCCTGCTCAGGCAGCCTTGGCACCAGTGAAGCCCTGCCAGGGTCTGTGARCTGCAGCTGGGGACAGCCACAGCGTGTCCCCTCACAGCCCCTCACCCCGACCCAGCAGTCATCCACACGAGGAGAAAGCAATGGCACAGCACTCCCAGGGTATGGAGCCAGAGGTAGCCGTACACTCCATCCAAGAGCATCCAACGTCCCCACCAAAAATAGCTCCCGCAGCCTCCCCTGGTGCCATTTGAGCCCTGGCAGCCTCTGTGCCCCAGGGACACCCCTTCTTCCCCAGCTGCCTCCTCCTCCTCCCCAGGGCAAAGGCAGCCCCTCGCAGGGGCCGATCCCTCCGGGGCAGCACTGGGCAGGTCCCCGCTCCCTCCCCAGGTGTGGAGCAGCCAGGCCAGGCGCTGGAGGACACGGTGTTTATTGGCTACCTATAAGTTAAGGGTGAGGGACACGGGGGCAGGGGTGGCAGCAGTCACGTCTCGGCTTTCCGCCCCTTCTCCTTGTCGCCCTTGGCCTGGATGCGCAGCTCCTCGTCCAGCCGCTCCTTGGCTCTCACCACCTGTGGGACACGSGGTGACAAAGAGGTTTGAGGTGTCCCCTCCCCTCCTTGCCTCATCCATRGGGATACTCAGGCTCTGCCTGTCCCAAATCCCAGGCAGGGGAAGGTGCAGCCCCTGCTCTGCTCTTCCCAGTGCTCACCTTGGACTGCAGGTAGAAGGAGCCTCCCACTGATTTGTCATTCACCTTGAACAAGTGGTCATAATTCTGCCAAGAGAAGCTYCAGGTCAGAGTCACCTCCACAATTCCCATTCCCATTCCCAAACCCTGTGGACCTCCCACTCCCCAGAACATTGGAAGAGTGATTCTGGGGAYACGGCTCTGCCTGACACCCCTGTGAGCCCCCATGTTCCCAGCTGGACACCTCCAGGGATCCCACATCCCTTCCCTAAGCAGCCCCACCGGGCAGATGAAGGAGCCAAGCCTGGAGGGCTGCTCCAGCTGGGGCAGGGAATTCTCAAACTGGGATGAACTGGGCCCAGGCCAGCACGGGGGACCAGCTGTCACCCCCACACATGGCAGCAGACTCAGGGAGGGCAGGGCCCTGCCAGCACGGTCCCTCCCCAGCTCCAARGGAGCCTTTACCTTCTGGATCTCCTCGGGGTTGAGGTTGGAGACGTTGAGGATCTGCTGAGCCTCCTGGAGGCTGATGCCGATGATCCTGGAGGCGGCAGCGGATTGGGGCCTCTCGGAGCGTCCTCGTGCATCGGCCGCCGCCCGGCTCGCTGCAAACACGCAGGGCCTGAGCCCCCCACTGCCCACAGAACCCCCAGCCCTTGGGGCGGTCAGACAGCACAGCCCACAGGCTCTGAGGGGCCCCCGGGGTCCCCCTCTATCCCCACCCAGCCAGCCCTGGGGTCACCTGGAGGCCGTCCCTGTGCCAGGGTGGTGGCAGGGACTGGCTGGGCAGCRTTTTCTGCAGGCGAGGCATGGCTGGGCTGCCACCTCCCAGGGACCATCCCRCTCTGCCCTTTGGGTGCCAGAATCTCTGGGAGCCTGGCAGCAGTGCCAGGGCCAGGCTGGAGCCTGGAAAGGCTGCTGGGAGCTCAGCTCGGGATGAAATGCCACCAGGCCAGCAGCAGGATGTGGGTGCTGTCACCCTGTGACAAGCTGGCAGTGTCCCCTGCAGGCAGGGCCCGGGGATGGGGAGCACTGGGGTGCCCAGGGAAGGGCGGGGATGTGAAGCAGTGCCCAGCAGGGCAGTGTGGGCACACASAGCACCATCCCAGCTCCTACCTGCAAACTCCTGGCGCAGCGCCCGCATGAAAGCCCGTCCCACCACCTGGGCCCCCACCAGGATGATCTGTGCCAGGTACTTGGCCTGCGGGGACACCCTGCTGTCACAGCCATCACGGGCGCTGTCCCCACAYGGGTCCTTTGTCCTGTCACCTCCCCATGGGCCCTGCACAGCCCTGGCCCTGTCGCCTGTGCCCATCCCCTGAGGCTCTGCTCTGATCCTCCCGGGATTCTGTCATGGCTGTGCCTGGCCCTGTCTCCCCTCCTCTGTCCCTGTCCCCCACCCAGGCCTGTCATCCCTTTCCCAGATCCCGTTCCCTCCCCATGCCCTGTCCCTCCTCTCCTCTGTCCCCGGTGCCCATGCCTTGTCCCCTCTCCCTTGGTCCTCTGACGCCCTCCTCTGTCCCTGCTCCCCCTCCACTGGCCCTGTCCTCTCTCCTCTGTCCCTGTCACCCTTTTCCATGCCTTCTTGCCCTTTCCCTGGTCCTGTGACCCCTTATCTCGTCCTTGTCCCCTCTCCGCTGGCCCTGGCCCTCCCGGAACCAGCTGCTTCGCCCATTCCCGAGCCCGCTGCCCATGTCTGAGCCCTGTCCAGCCCCACCTCTGCCCTCCCGTCCCCGCTGTCCCCCCGTCCCGTCCCCCGTCCCCTCTCACCATGTCCCCGCCGCCGCTTCCGGCCCGGCGGTCACGTGGCCGGGGTGAGGGTCACGGCGGACAGCGAGGCGGCGGCGGCGCGGSCGGAGCGTCCCCTCGCAGCCACAGCGCCCTCTGGCGGTCTCTCCCCGCGGGAGGTCCGGATGGTGGCGGCCGAATGGGGCGCGACTTCCCCGGCCCCAATCCCCCCGATCCCTGTGTTATGGCGGTGCCGGTCCCGGTGTCCTCCCGGTCCCTGTGCCACCCCGGTCCCTGTCCTGTTTCCCCTCGGTGCCCGTTCCTGTGTCCCCCCCGGTCCCGTGTTTCCCCTGCCGCGGTCCCTGTGTTCCCCCTCGTCCCCGTGTCCCCCGGCATGGGTCCCTGTGTCCACCCGGGGCCGATGTTTGTGTCTCCCCGCCCTCGGCCCTCATGTTCGCCTCGGTTCCTGTGTTCCTCTCGGTTACTGGGGTCGCCTCGGAGCCGGTCCCTGTGTGGCCCCATCCCCGGTCCCCGTGTTGTCCCCCTGTGTCTCCCCCGGTGCCCCAGGATCACGGCAGGACACGGTGCTGGTGCAGCGGCTTTAATAGCGGGTCCTGCCCGCGACGGCCCCTGCGCCTCCTCCACCTCTTCCTCCTCTTCCTCCTCCTGGACCCGGCGGGGGTGCCGGGTGCTCCTGGGGGTGCCGGGTCCAGCCTAGTCCTGCGGGAAGCCAGGCAGTGAAGAGCGCGGCGGGGCCGGGTGGGACCCACMCGAGGGCCGGGGGTCTCCCTCCCGCACTCACCCACTCGTCCTCGTCCACGCCCTCGAAGGAKTCCTGGGGCAGCGGGTCGTCCCGGTTGCCCAGCCGGGCCACCATGGCATTCAGGAGCTGCGGGGAGAGGTCGGGCAGAGCCGTGGGGTGCGGGGCATCACCCCCGGCCCTGCCGAGGGGGGGGTCATCCCAGCACCCACCTCCTCCTTCTTCTGCTCGTCAGTCTTCTCCTCCAGGTACACGGAGGCGGGGACGAACTTGCGAGCCGGAGCCTCTTTGGGGGCCTCGCTCACTGGGAGGACGGTGTCACCACGGGCCAGGAGGGCTTTGCCCCGAGGCCAAAGCCCCCCCAGCCATCCCTGAGGGCCGGGGGTCCTCGCTCAGCCCCTGCACCCACCTGGCACCATGTCCGCAGGGCGCAGGCTGGCACGGCGCTGCTGCCCGTCCTGCCCATCCAGCCAGGCAGCCGCGCCCAGCGCCGGCTCCCACCACACGCGGGTCGGCGGGTACAGATCGTCCTGGAAATACTCCTTCTGCGGGGCMAGGGGCGCTCAGGGGGGTGCCCTGCCTCCTGTCCCCCTTTCAAAACACAGCCGGTCCCCTCTGTCACCTACCTTGACTCGTGGCACGTGGAAAGCCACGGGCTCCAGGGTGCTCTGCCCTAGGCGCAGCGCCCGGGCGAACTCCACCTCCCGCACCTCACACGCCGTTTTGGGCAGGAAAACGAAGCCCTGGTGGGGTGGGGGTGTGAGTGGAGTCTGGTAACACAGGTGGGGGTCAGCGCCAGGCAGCACAGCCCCCCTTTACCTTGTGGGGTTCGTTGGAGGTGAAGCTGTTGCACTCGAGGAAATAGGGGGGCTCGGGGGTCACCTCGTAGAGGAAGACTCTGGTGTCACCCTGGGGATGGAGCGAGACAGGGGCTGTCAGGGGACATGGAGGGTTCCCCCACACTGCTGGGGTGCTGTAGGCAGGGAGCMCCCCAGCTTTTGGATGGCAAGCCCTCACCTTGCCAGTGAGGAAGACAACGCTGGTATCCTCATCATAGAARGGCAGGAGGGTGGAAGGGGCCACATCCAGGCCAAGGACAGACAAGGGTCCTTCAGRCAGGGCCTGTGCCCGGTACAGGAGGATCCTCCTCTCACTGCGGCTGTGGGGAGGTGACAGTGAGGGGGAGCACGGTGGGGAGTGACTGTGGGGACCCCTGCCTTGACACGTGTCCCCCTCTTTACCTGTCAAAGCCGGACACCAGGAGGTAGTCACCACCACAGACCCAAACCAGGCGTGCTCCGCGTCCCCCCTCGGGACCTGAGCCCTCCTGTGTGGGGTGAAGGTCACTGTGTCTGCTCTGAGGGAGCAGGGGATGCGGGCAGCTGCCCACGGAGAGGGTTTCCTGCCCACAGCCCCAGCTCTGYAGCCCATCCCCAGAGCTGAGATTGTACCTGTTGGGGCTGAGAGCTGTGCCGTGGCTCGTAGAGCCGTATCCGTCCGTCTTTGCTCACTGTTGCCAACTTCTTCCCATCTGGGCTCCAAGCCATGCTGAAGATCTGGACAGACAGATGTTGTGCCAATGTCCCAAAGCTGCTTCTCGGGTGACCCCGGATTTGTCATCCCTTACCTGATCCGTGTGTCCCTGCAGGCACAGGACTTCCCGCCCGGTGCTCAGCTCCCAGATCCGCACGCTCATGTCGTAGGAGGAGGAAACCAGGAGATCGGATGCCATGGGGTGGAAGCGGATGGAGTAAATCTTCTCTGTGTGCCCTGGTGAGGTTGAGCAGTGCGTGTTTGTCACCAGCCGTGGGTGCCACCGGGCTGGCTTGTACCCAGCATGGGGTGCTAGGTGTGTCCTCTCACCTCGGAGAACAGCCTCAGGCTCCTGCAGGGTCTCCTGCAGCCCTCCCTCGGGGATCCGCCACAGCCGGATCTTGGCGTCCTCGCCCGCTGTGCACCGAAAGGGACGGGCAGTGGTTAATGTGGTGATCGGGTGTGTCTGGAGCCGGGGGGCTCTCCCGGCACGCTCCGGTGGGGCTGGCACACGTACCCACGGCGAGGCGCCACGGGTCGAACGGGTCCCAGGTGAGGTCGGCCACCGCYGCGCCGTTCTGGATGGTGGGCACAGCCGCGTCGGGGAGACGGCCGGGCTTGGAGAGCTGCGGGAGAGAGCCGAGGGTGACAAACATGGCACGTGCAGCGCCACGCCGGCCTCCACACCACACTGGGTACCTCGAGGACGGCGATCTGGCCGCCGGCCGAGAGCAGGGGCAGGGCCACACGCTGGTGGTTGGCACAGAAGCCGTCGCACTCGCCCGGCGTGGTGAGGCTGAGCCCCCGCAGGTTGGTGAGGTGGTGGTCGCGGTGCAGCACCCGGCCCTGCGCGTGCCGGAAGCGGGAGCTGGGGCCTGGAGCAGGTGAGGGGAGGGTGAGCAACCCAAATTCCCCCCAGCTGAGACCCTGAGCCCATCCTACTGCCCACTCACCCAAAATGCTCTGCAAGGACTTCTGGCTGGGGCTGCTGGCAAAGCCACTAGAGGGGCCAGTGCTGGCTGAGAGTGAGGTGGCTGCACTGCTTGGTGAGGCCAGTGAGGACGGCGAGGAGTAGCCACTGGCCTCCTATGGGAGAGAGTGTGAGTGGGCAGGGGATGCTGGCACCCCAGCTTTCCCTGGGGCAGCAGGGACGCCCACCCCCTCAGCATCCAAAGTGCTCTCCCAGCACCCCATGCTTACGCTCTGGTCGGTGTCGGTGTGGCCAGTGTCCACATCGCTGTGGCCAGTGTCGCTGTGGCCGGTGCCTGGTGCCGGCTGCTGGGTGCCAGCGATGATGGGGGAGGTGAAGGTTTCTGTGGGTCTCCGTGCAGGGTGCAGGCTCACCYTCCCCACCTGCATTGGGCACAGCGGTGAGCATGGGGCAGTGGCAATGTCACCAGCAAGGCCACCCCCTGGGGTTACGCTGACCTGCTGGCTGTCTCCTGCCCACCAGCCTTGGGCATCAGTGGCTGGCAGTGTCCCTGTGCAGTCAGGAAACAGATCCTCRTGGAACTCCTGGACAGACTGTGACAGAGGGGACACGGAGAGTTGGGTATTCCTGAAATCCCACATCCTCTATCTTGCTGCAGCTGGGGCACCCCTGGACACACCCAGACACTTCCAGCACCCAGACCCCACTACCCAGCACCGAAACTTCAGCTGCCTGAAGTGCCCAGCTCCCACTGCCCAACAGCACCCAGCAGGTGGCACCCAGCTGCCAGCAGCTGCTCTCCAGCACCCCGATCCTGCGTGCAGCACCCGCCTTCCCAAATCCAGCACCCAGACTCTGTGACCCAYCATCAGCACCCAGGTCTGACCTCCACTCCTGCTCTCCCTAGGCTGGGGGCTGGGGTCTCACTGCAGCCAGGTGCCTTTTGTCACCCAGCGCTGGTGAGATGTCACCCATGWGGTGACACCAGGCACCCGTGAGACAGTGCCACCCGCAGCCCCTCTCACCTTGCGTGGCACCAGGTAGCTGACAGGGACGAGGGCGGTGTCGGTGAGCTGCAGGACACGAAGCACCTCGCAGGCCATGACATCCAGGGCCAGGCGTGGCACGGCCGCCAGGCCCCGCGTGCTGCCCTCTGTCCGGCACTGCGTCACTGTGGGACAGGCAGGATGGCTGTGGGGTGGGTGCCAGGCAGGAGTGAGCCCCGCGGGGAGATATGGGTGGGATGGGACCTGCTTACCCTGGGTGAGCGCCGGCTGCGCAGGGGCCACCTCGAAGCAGTACAGGAGGTTTTCTCCCTGGAAGAGATGTGGARGGGACAGGGAATGAGCGGGGCTACAGGAAGACCCCCACTGCACCCACATGCACCAACATGCACCTCACTACACCCCCTGCATCCTCCTGTCCCCTCAGTGCCTCCCTACATCCCCCACCCACAGGACCTCACCTTCCCTGCCAGCACCAGCAGTCCTGTGTCAGCGTCGTACAGCGGGATGGTCACCCTGCAAGGGAAAGGGGGTGCTGAGACGGGGGCCCCAGGGGCACAGCATCCCAAGGGATCCTGTTCCCCCACCAAAGTGTACCCCAAACCCATCCTGGGGAAGTGTGGGGCAGGATCAGGCCATGCTGCAATGGCAGTGCTGGGGATGCTCGCAGGGTGAMAGGTTGGCAGCAGAATGTCACTGCCATCTGCTTCCAGCCCCAGCAGCACACTGCCTGCTGGAAAGCCGTGCCCAGCCGTGGGGCATCCGGCTCCCTGCCCTGCTCCCTGTGCCCGGCCATGGCACCCGGCCTCGCTCGGGGAAGCCTCCGGCACCCGCGGGGTTGCCCCGAGGCCGGCCAGGCCGGCTTGGCCAGTTCGGGACGGGCGCGTGGCACACCCGGCACACCGCCCGCCTCCCCGGCCAGCCCCGGGAGTGCCCTGCGGCCCGGCTGTGCCAGCTGGAGCGTGTCCCTGCTGCCTGTCCCGCACCCTGTCCCAGCCCGCAGCCAGGGTGCTCCGTGGCTGGGGGATGCTCGTGCCGGAGGGAGCGGCGGTTGGGACCTGCTCCATGGCTGGAGGGGACCATGGCTGGGGGGACGCTCRGTGGCAGGAGGGAGCACAGGGAATACTCAGTGGCCTGAGGGGACAATGGTGACGGGAGCACAGAGCCACCTCTGGGCCTTCCGTCGGCAGGGGTGGAGGAGGCAGYGCCGCAGGCAGAGACCAAAGGGACAATCTGTTACTTTCGGTTGACATTTCTGTGGCTGTGCCAAGGGGAGGGAGCTGTTCCATGCCATCCCATGCCATGAAGGATAGCTGTGGGTGGTATGGCACGGTCCTGCCCCGGGACCATTGGCACAGCCTAGGCAAACACCGCCAGGMGGCCCGTGGCAGGCACCGGGGTCCCCTGCCCTGCTGTCACCAATGTCACCAGCCCTGYCACCACCACAATGGTGCAGGTTTGGGACAAGGGCACCCTGAGTGCCTGGTTGCACCYGTTCAACCTGTGCCATCCTCACCATGCTGAATAGGCAGCGCTGTTCTGCAGCTCTGGGCACAGCTCTGTGGTCAAAGGGTCATGGGGACAGCCCTGTGAGGGCCACCCACTATCCCCCTGTCCCCCAGTACATGGTGGCAGGAGCTCTGGRGATGCCAGGGGCATGGAGGGACTGGGATCCCAGGGCACTGGGGCTCATCGGTGCCAGACTCCCTGGTTACCCTGGACACACTGGATATCGGGGTTCCTGGAGGTGCCAAGGACACCCAGCCTTTGTTATTACCAGGGCTGCCAGGGGTCCCATGGGYGCTGGGGATATGAGGGACATAACTATAGCTGCATCTACCCCTGTACCTGTGTGTACACACATCAGGGGTGCTGCGGTCCCAGGGACCCCAGCCCCAGGGACGCTGAAGGTCCTGGGGGGCCCTGGAGGATTTGGAGAGTCTGGAAGCTTCCAAAGGTTCTGTGGGTCCTGGGGATCCCTGTGACTCTGGGGGTCCAGAAGTCCTGGAGGTTTCATGGGAGTCCCTGGGGATCCTGAAGAACCCTGTGACTCCGGGGAGCCCTGGGGTCCCATGAGCTCCCAAGGAGTCCCAGTGGTCCCTGTGACTCAGGAGGCTCCTGAAATTTCAAAGTGACTCTGGGATGTCTTGGGGGTGCTGGTGGCCCGGAGGTCCTGAGTGCTCTGATGGTCCCTGTGACTCTGAGCTCCCACATGTCCTGGGTGTCCCAGGGGTCCCTGTGACTCCAAGCTTCTGGAGGTCCTAAAGGTGCGGGGGGGCCCTTTTACACAGAGGTCTCAGATGTCGTGGGTGTCCCAGGGGTCCCTGTCACTCAGAGATTCTGGATGTCCTGAGGATTCCTGTGACTATAAGGTCCCGGAGGTCCTGGGGGTCCCAGGGGACCCTGTGACTCAGAGGTCCTGAATGTCCCGGGGGTCCCTGTGGCTCGGGGGGTCCCGGGGGTCCCTGCGGTGTCGCCCCCATCGGGCCCCAGGTGCGCGGGGGGCGGGGCCTCCATGGCTGCCGTGCCCCGCCCCTCCCCCTCAGTGCTCTCAGCCAATCAACGCCCGGCGGGAGGGAAGGCCCCGCCCCCGCGGTTTAAATGCCGCCCCCCTTGTCCGGCGCCGCCAGAGAGGGGAGCGCTCGCCCGGCCGTCGCTGTGCTCCTGCTATGGACTGACCCGCCCGCCCCGCACCGCCCGCCACGGTGAGTCCCGCGGCCGCCACACTGCCCGACCCTCCGCACGGCTACCGGGGCTCGTGAGGCGGCGGCCACACGAGGGAGTGGGCTCTGCCGGGCATCTGCGGACTCAGGGGGGTGGGGGGGCCCAGGGGGCCCTGGTGGGCCTGGGCCGAGGCGTGGGACACCCAGTGTGGCCTGGGCACCCACGGTGATGCGGCGTCACCGGGGCCTCAGGCGAGGGTCGGCGAACCGTGCTSTCTGCGAGGCCTCGGCTGAGCCAGGGGCACCCGGCTGGCCCCTGCTCTGGGCTGGTGGCAGGGCCTCGGCTGGGCTGGGGGCATGGCACTGCGATGAGCTGGGCCAAGGGTGCAGAGAGGGYGCTTGGTCCCCTGGCCCTGCCTATGTCTGTTCTGCCGTGGGATGCACTGAGATCTGCCCCAGGGATCTTGGCCGGGGGCTGCATCCATCATTGCCAAGGGGAGGGATACGTTTGGGGCTAACGTGGAACATGGCTCCGTCCAGCATGGCTGGGTGGCAGTGAAGCACTCTGCCAGCAGAAGGGCTCCAGGACACATGGGACCAGCATGGTCTTGGGCCCATCCCATTCTCTCTGTGTCCCAGCAGACGTGGTGGCTGGYTGTCCTGCTGGGGTCACGCAGAGGTGGGAGCTGCTGGCAGCAGTGTCCACCACCACCACCACCACCCTCCTCAGTGGAGGGCTTTGTTGGGGTGGGGTTTGGCTGCCCTCATTTTGTGTGTTCTCAGGGGCTGGTGTCCCGGGTCACTGACCACTGTGGAGCCAAGCGGGTCCCCAGGCGGTGCTGACAAGGGTTTCCCTCTGGCTGGCGCAGAGGGCTGGGTGCCAGCAGGGCCATYGGCCAGCCTGGCTGCCGGCTGGCAGGGATACCCCACTGCTTCTCCTGCCGCCAGCTCCCCATGTGCTTCATCGTCACCCAGTGTGTGTTGGGAGGGTGCTGGCGCCTGTCACCCTCTGGGGTGTGACATTGGGCCACCATGGGGTAAATGTCCCTTTCCACACCTGGCTCCCTCCCAGGCTGGCAACTTGCACAGGAGCCAGCAGAGATGCTCCTGTTCTGAGACTCCTCTTCCCAACCAAAACCTCCTAGTAATGTCCCCCCAATACACATACTCTTGCCAGYGTGCCCCACGCCCACAGGTCTCATCCTGCTGGGACTGGGGCAGCCAGACTGCCCTGACCCAGCTGTGCCGCTGCCCACACGGCGCTGGGCAGTGCCGCCATCAGGGATGACACTAATTACTGTTTTCCCCCGCACCACACCAAGGCCGCCTGGCCTCGCCGGTGGCCCTGACGCAAGCGCTGCCTGCCCGGCTGGCTCTGCCGGCGGGACGCGGCACGAGGAAGCGCTCGGGGACAGCCGCGGCCGCCCCAGTCACTCCGGAGGAATCTGCCCGTGCCGCCCGGGCCACGCGTGGCACCATCGCCGGCCTCCTCCCACCCTCCGCCGGCGTTCCGGCTCCTCCCGAGGCGGTTTGGCTGCCGGCAAAGCGGCTCTGCTGGTTTTTCTCCTTGCCAGCACCTGAGATGGGGAGCGCGGCCGGGTCAAAGGGGCAGGAGCGGGATGGAGGGGCTGCCGAGTGCTCCGGGGAATGCAATAACCAGGCCTGCATTCCTGCGGGGCTGCTGCGGAAACTTTAATTAAATAGGGAGGGGAGAGGGAGGAGGTAGGAGCTGCGTCGGCACAGGGTGGGTTGAAGGGGAGGAGGATTAAGGGCTTAATCCTGCATCCCCCAGGCTGGCTCTCGGGAGGGGGCACGTGCTGACATCGGCTTGTTTTGAGGAGTGTAAGGGAGGGGAGCAGCATCTGCATCCCGTCTGGCAAAGGCGCCGTGTCCTTCCCTGTCACTGCACAGTGCAGGGCCCCCGTTCTTCCTGCTCTGGTGCCACCAGCCGAGGTGGCAGCCCACGGGCCAGTAACAACACTGGCTTTGTTTGKCTGCACTTGCCGGTGCGGGAAAGGACATCCCGGCTGTGCTGCTTCCGTGAGGTCCCCAAGGAGCTGGGAAAGGCAGGGACTCTCCAGATCCTCCAGCCTGTCCTGCACAGGTGTCACCTTGCAGCGCGGGGACCTGCCTGTCCTTAAAAACGGGGCGGGTGCAAAGCAGGGCATGCCCTGCCGAGTCACCGACCTGGGCAGGCAGCGGGTGGCTCAGCCTGGGGGGCTGCAGGCACRGGAGGAGGGGAGACTGCACTCCCACCCCAGCAGGCTGGCAGGGAAAGGCTGAGCCGGGACTGGGGGAATCTGAGCCCAGATCCTCCCCGCAGCCGGAAAATATGAATAATTCGGCAAATATCTGTGGTGCAGGCGCGGGGGAGCCCAGCCAAGGCAGCAGCAGGCCGCTGGCAGGGCGGCCCCAACACCTCCAGCAGAAACGGGGCCCCCTCTCCATCCTTGGGGACCCTGCCAGGACCTGGGGAGGCTGTTCCCCTGCCCCCCCATTTCTAGGGGGTGTCATGGGCTGGGTTAACCCCTCTCTGCTTTGGAACAACATCGTGCCGGGGAGGCGGGGCGCGGGCGGGATGCTGGCGTGTGCCGGTGGAGCGGGCGATGCCGAGGGGCGGTGGCGGAGGCTGCGGGGCCGTGCCAGCCTGCCCGGCGCTCGTGGCCAGGCGCGGATGTGCGACCGTGGCCGGGCTGGCCGAACCTGCCCGGAGCGGGGAGCCTGGCAGGCGGGGAGGAAATGCCAGCGTAATTAAAGGGACGAGAGACTTGGAGTCAGCAGCTGGTTGCAGCACGGGACACGTCAGCGAAACCCGACCCTGGCATTGCAAAACCAGCCCCGGCCTCGCCAGCATCCCGCAGGCCTGGCCCCTCTCCGGCACTGCCCACTCGGGTGGGCTGGTGTGACCRTGGCACCGCTGGCATGCCGGCACCCTGCGCCCAGGCCTCTGCCACCAGCCACCACACTGTGGATGCTGGAGCCACCTTGAGGGCTGCTGGGTCTGCCCCCAGCCCCAAAAAGCACTTCAGAGTCTCCACAATGCGTTTTTGACTCTACCGGCAGCCTGGCCATGATGTGGGGTGCAGGGGGACCTGGCAGCAGCGGGGGGACTGAGCTGGGGTTGCTGGGGAGGGGATGCAGTGAYGGTGACCCCTGGGTGACAGTGACCCCTTGGATGTGGCACAGCTCCTCCCCAGTGTCAGAGGCTGACGGCACAGGTCACGTCAGGGCAGGGCTGGTCAGGCCAAGTGACTCAGGCAGYTGTGGTGACCCTGCCCAGCCGTGGGCTCACTCCACCCTCGGGTGCACCCCACCCTGGGGGGGGCCCGCTCGGGAAGAGGCAATGACAGAGCCAGCYGCAGTGTTAACCCTGTCCAACACCCCGGCAGGGGGACAAGCCCAGGTCCAGACCCTCCTGGCGCAGGATGTGATGTCCCTGCACCGCCGATGGGGCCGGAGCAGGCAGCACGTGCTGCCGTGTGACCTGCAGCCCCCCACACACGGCGGGGGCCCCTTGTGAGCCACAGGGAGGGCGTTTGCTTGGCGCTCCAACAGCTCTGATGAGGGAGGAGGTGGTAACAGATGGGGCTGGGGAAGGGTTTACCTCGTCCCCACCCAGGGACCCCCTGTCTGCCACCTCTGACCCTGAGAGGGGGTGGCAGGGGACTGTGAGTCTCTGGTCCAGCCTAGTGTCATTAAAAGGGCTGAAAAATGGGGCTGAGAGAGGAGCCCTATGGGACACAACAGTGGCTACTACATTGACCAGGGCATCCATGGGGAGCTGGGGCTGGGGTGGTTATAGCCTTGCTCACCCCAGCACATCCTCCCTCCATCTCTGCTGATCCAGTCCTCAAGGAACAGGGACAGAGCCCACAGTGCTGTGTTGAGTGCAACAGTGAGGGGAACAGCAAGGTGACCTGTGGGGACAGGAGCTGGCTGGGGGTGGAGTGTCCTCCACTCGGTGGGGACACAAATAGCTCCTCTAGCCCCWCTCTGTGGCCCAGGTCACATCTGTGTGCCCCTGTCCCCAAGAGGGATTGCTGCTGCCAGTGATAACTGGGACAGCGGCACAAGCAAAGGGTTAAGCTGAGCTCTGTGCAGGGGAGGCCGGCCAGGCTCCCACCCTTTCCCGGTGCTCTGATTCTCCGCATCCCCCGTGTTTGATTTGCACCCTGCCGAGCAGCTGGGGAGGTTGGGGCCCTTGCCTGTACTGGGGAAGATCTTGGTGCCCCACTGAAGACAGCCCCAATGCCAGTGGGACGTGTCTCATGGTAGAGCCTGGGCTGCACAAAGATACCGCATCCCCAAATCCTGGGGGTCTGGGGAGGAGGGAGCATGGAGCCAGGGTGGACCGCCCTCGTGTCGCTACACTCTTACCAGCCCTGGAGACAGAGCAGAGTTCAGATGTGCCCCACAGCCCCGCCTGTCCTGGGTACCCCACAGCAGGGCCCATCCCCTAACCCTGGCTGTGTTTGTCTCTCCGCAGAGCTGACACCATGAACCAGCTGATCCTTTGCACGCTGCTCCTCTTGGCCCAGGGGGAGCTGGCTGGGGCATGTCCAGCGGGTTGCCAGTGCCAGGACCCCGAGACCATCCTGTGTGCGGCCAGGCGGGGCCAGACGGTGCCCCAGGGGCTGCCCCCCAGCACCCTCTCCCTCTATGTCTTTGAGAACGGTATCACATCACTCAGTGAGGACAGTTTTGCAGGGCTGCCCGCCCTCCAGCTCCTGGACCTCTCGCAAAACAAGATCACCAGCATCCAGAGAAACATCTTCCAGCCCCTGACGGAGCTTGTCAACTTGGACCTGTCCTCCAACCAGCTGCAGGAGATCACCAATGAGACCTTCCATGGGCTGCGGCTGCTGGAGCGGCTCTACCTGCAGAGGAACAGGATCCAGCACATYCACGCTGCTGCCTTTGACACGCTGGAGAATCTGCTGGAACTAAAGCTGCAGAATAACCAGCTCAGGGCTGTGCCTCCCCTCGACCTGCCCAACCTCCTGCTGCTGGACATCAGCTGGAACAAGATCCCTGCCATTGCACCAGGGGCTTTCCATGCTGTCAACATTGAGTCCCTGAAGATCGCAGGGCTGGGCCTGACGAGCTTAAATGAGGAGCTGTTCCAGGTTCAAAACAACCTCCATGAGCTGGACGTCTCTGACAACCTGCTGGAGCGTGTCCCRGCTGTGCTACGGCGGCTGGGCAGCCTCACCAGGCTCAGCCTGGCCGGTAACGCCCGCATCTCCCAGCTGCCAGCCGAGGACTTCCAGAGCCTCCACAACCTCCAGGAGCTGGACATCAGCAACCTCAACATCAACACCATCCCTTGGGATTTCTCCGGCTTCTTCCCCAGGCTGCGGGCMATGACAGCTGCCGGCAACCCCTTCAACTGCATCTGCCAGATGAGCTGGCTGGTGCAGTGGGTGAACGCCAGCGGCGTGGTCCTGCGGCGCCCTGAGGAGACGCGCTGCCACTTTCCCCCCAAAAACTCAGGCAAGCTCCTACATCACCTGCAGTACGTTGACTTTGGCTGCCCCACCACCACGCCCACGCCCACCACGCCCCGCACCACCACGCTGCCACCACTTGCGCCGCTGCCCACCACCCACCGCCTGCCACCGCCCCCCAGCACCGCTGCACCTACCTCGAGGGCCAGGGACCCCCAGGGCAGCTCCACACTGGTGCCCTTCAGTGACGCCCTGGCCCCCACCAGCCCCCCAGTGCCCATCTGTCCCCCCCGCACGTGTCTGAACGGCGGCACCTGCCACTTGGGTGCCCAGAACCTCCTGGAGTGCCTGTGCCCCACGGGCTTTGCTGGGGCGTACTGTGAGGTGGAGATGAGGGGGACCACGCCAGCCCCGGGCACGCCGGCCCCACAGCCCGGCCAGGGGGTCAGCATCGCCCAGGTGGGCAGCACCTCTCTCAAAGTGGACCTGCACAACTACATCCAGTCCAAGGTGCCACTGAAGGGCATCCGCCTGAGCTACCGCAACCTGTCGGGGCCCGACAAGCGGCCGGTGATGCTGCGCTTGCCAGCCTCGCGCTCCGAGTACACGGTGCGGGCGCTGAAACCCAACTGCACCTACCGCATCTGCATTGGGGCACTGGGGGAGCTTCCCAAGGAGGAGCACTGTGCCGAGGCACAGACCCTGCCCCTCAGCCTACAGCAGCACTCCCCGGTCACCCAGAGCCAGGACCCCAACCTCGCCCTGATCCTCGTCCCCGCGCTGGCCGCTGTGCTGCTGTTGGTGGTGGTGGTCACCGCCGCCATGTACTACCGCCGGCACCGCCGGGCCAAGGCGCACGCTGGTGCTGGGGTGGATGCCGGCCCGCTGGAGCTGGAAGGGGTGAAAGCCTGCCTGGAAAATGGGGATTTGAACAGCCATGGGTGCAAGGTGCCAGAGGCAGCGATGCTTTCCGGTGGCTCTGAGTGTGAGGTGCCGCTCATGCAGTCACACTACCCCAGCAACAACAACACCCCGGGGCTCAAACCCTCCTAYTTCTGAACCCACAGGGCTGCCAGAGCAGGACACAGGAGGGCTGAGCTCCAGCAGCAGCACCTGGCCAAGTCCCTTTGGGATACAGGTTGCCAAGGAGCTGACTGAATCGAGGCAGAAACCCCTCCAATCCCACAACGTGCAATTTCCAAGAGGCTGCCATGCTTCAGGAGGAGACACAAGTTTTACTGCCCTGTGCCTTGATTTCTGTGACTTTACCTAGAAYGTGGATAGTGGAAGAGAAGAGGGGGTTAATTTGGGGGTGGGGGGGGCTTTTTTTAGCTCCTGCTAAAGAGAAAGCTGCTGTGACTCGGCTGAAGGACGCCCACGTGCTGGTAACAAGGGTCCTTTAGTGGAGCACAGCCCATGACTSGACTCCCTGGAAGCTGATGTGAGCAATATGGCCCGGCCGAGGTGCTGGGACCCTCGGGAACCCCGGGCCAAAGGAAGCGCCGAGCAGGCAAACCGGGAATTGAAGCTTTAAGAACTCAGAGAGAATATTTATACACCGTTATTTCCCATTTCTTCTGGGAAAACTTTTTTTTTTTAGTACTGGTTTGTGTACATCTCTTTTGTAAGGCAGATGAGAAGAGTGTCTTTTTGTAAAAAAAAAAGAAAAAAAAAMCCAAAATAATTAAAATAACAACAAGGAAAAGCTCTGTGCAGCCTTGWGCACCTTGGCAGGCGCTGCCCATCACAGGCAGGGGTGTGGGCAGCGCAGCATGTCCCCTGCAGAGGAGCGGGAAGGTCAGCCGTGTCCTCCCGTTGTTGTTGGCGAGCGCCGGGATGAGTCAGGGCAAGGGAGGGGGGAATTTTCCCGACTTCGGGCGTTTTTACCCTAAAGGCGCTGCCCCCCACCTCGGGTGCTGAGGACGTGTTCCCAAAACAGGCCACGGGGTTCAAATAAGTCCCTACCCTGCACATCATTCAGCCTTACTTCATCCCTCTCTGCCTGCCAGATGGCTCCGGGGCCAGCTGCGGGACAAACAGCCCAGCCCAACCTCCTGACGTCACCCGCGGCGGCACCGGGACCCCCAAATCGCCCGTGACAAGTGTCAGCCTCCGTGGCCCCCCCAGCCCGGGGGCCGCAGCCAGAGCCCCCGCTGCCCGGCCCCGGGAACAGCCGGTTTTGTGCGCTGGCCCTGGCGGGGTGGGCTGGGAGCCGAAGCTCAGCAGGTTCCCGCTGCCAAGTGGTTTCTGCTCCAACCCTCTGGTTTTAATCGTTTTCCAATCCTTTATCTTTCGGGCTGGAATTTTCCAGGTTGGGGCCCTGCCCGCCGAGGTATGTTTGATTTGGAGAGAATGAGCRCAGCGCGGGGCTGAAGCCGAGGGTCACCGCCGTGCCGCTCCGGGCCGGCCGCTCCGCCGCGGGACACGGCCCTGACCCCGCCGGCCCCGCGGTGCCGCTCGCCCGGGGCAGGGAGCGGCTCTGGATGCAATTAGGGGCGCGGGGCGTCGGCGGGGCCGTCTGGCGCAGCCCCCCGGCTCCCAGGTGGGCTTCCGGCAGGGCTGGCTCCCATTAGAGCCGGCGCAGCGGCAGGAGGGGCCCCTCGCCGGCGCGGGCAGCTCGCTGCGATGGCCACGCTCGCCCGCTCAAAGGGCCCATTGTGGTCCTCTCCCCACAGATTTTTCAAATTAACATCCCAAATTCCTCCCAAAATTGCTGCTGTGTAAATATTTTCACTGCGAGCTTTGTATATTTTCCAGCCTCGCGAGGAGGAGAGAAGAAAAGTCCCTGGCGGAGCCGCGGCCTCGCGCCGGGTGCCCCCGGTCACCGCCGCCACAGCCCCCCGAGCCCGGGCCAGCCCCGGGTGTGTCCCCGCGTCGGCACCGGCCCGTCAGGAACCCTCCAGCCTCTCCTGCCTCCTCACATCCCCCTCCTTTGCCTCCCTGGTGTGCCCTTCCCCCAATGAAGCTGATTTCCCCTCTTGCAATTAGAGCAGGAGCTTTGCAGGGCATCCCCCACATGCCGGGTGCGTGCCGGGGACTCCCTTGGCACCTCAGCTGATGCCATTGCTCTGGAGGGGTTTCCAGTGGCTCCAAACTCATGGGGCTACAGTGGAGATGCCAGAAGGGCAGAATCAAGGTGAGGGCTCAGCTTTGGCAGGTGCAACACCCCTGGGACACCCCAAGCCAAAGATTTTAGTGTGCCAGCTGCACAAGGGGGGCAGGAAGGTTCAGCTGTGGCACAGAGGTGAGTGGGACACTGCAGCCAGGGCAGGGCTTYGCCCCCACCCACACCCGTGTCTGCACCCGGGCAGCTTTGCAGTAGGTGGCAGTGCCCAAAATGGGACTGCCCAGCCCCTGTGGCTTCCTGAATCCCAGCACAAAATTCCCCTGGCCACTGCCAGCCCCGTCGCACGCCAAGAGCGGCTCTGAGCGGCACATCGTGYGGCGCTGCTAATTCCTGCTAGCTGAATCAGCGCCGGGAAGGATTGCAAAACCCCCTGAAATGGACCCAAAAAAAATCCCTCTCGCTGTGCAATCCAGCGGGGCCGGTAAGCGAGAACCCCGGCCAGAGCCACCGGCAGGATGGGGGCTCGGCGGGGAGCCACAACGGGAGGAGCCATTGGCTTCACCGGGGCAAATCCTGCCTGCACCCTGACGTGGCAAGGCTGGAGGGCTCCGGTCTCCAAAAAAATCACCCCTTGCCCCTGGCATGGCCCCACGGAAACTGAAGTTAGGTCCCCCAGGTCCCCCAGGTCCCCATGTCTGGAGCAGAGCCCCAAGGGGTCATGCCTCRGTGCCAGGGGTCTGGATGCCCACTCTCTGGGGGAGGGCAGGTGTGTGCCCATCACACAGCCCCCAGTGCTGCCAGGAAGAACTTTGGAGCTCATCAGCTTCCTGGAAAGCTGCAGAGGCCAGGGAGCACCGTCTGGCCATCGAGGCCATGGCCCATCTGGGAGTGATTCTGGCGCTGCCATCCCGCCCCAGCACTGGGCTATTTTTACCCAGTGGAATTACAGGACAGGCGACATGGGCTGGGTGGTTGCCCCGCCTTGACCCTTTCATGTGGCTGGCCAGRAGCCCCATGGGGATGGGTCCCACTGGGGTGACACCTGGTGGGGTGGGGTGGCCTCTCCCCTTCCTTGTGTCTGAGGGTGGCAGCTAATCCAGGGCAGGAAAAACCCCTTGCCCACTGATGGCAAGCACATGTCAACCCAGGCGCCTCTGGGATTGGCAAGGGGACTGGGACAGGGACGAGGACAGGAATGGACCTGTCCTGCTCGGGGCTCTTCCTTCCAGGGTGGGTGTTGTCAGAGACTCCCAAAACACCCACCACAACCCAAAAGGGCTGCTAAGCTCCAGGAAAAAGCAGTGCAGAGGGTGCCAGGCGGGATGGGACCAGGACCAGCCCCTGAGGTCCCATTGCAGCTGGTGCCTGACAAGGGGTGGCAGGGTGACAGTGGGGACGTGTGCCTCAGTGGGGTCAGGTGCCCTGRTGCACAGGAGGGCCGGAGCTGGGAGATGCCAGGACTGCAAGCCTGACCCCAGGAGCTGGTTCAGCCACAGGCTTCCACTGGGGCAGGGGCAGGGGTTGGGTTTTAGGGGCTGAGCCCCCCTGGGCAGTGTCCTAAGGAACCACCTGGCCCCTCCATGTCCTGCTCCAGCGCTGRGGGAGCCAAACAGCCCCAAATCCCTTCACAGACATCCTGCTGTGCCAACTCCCTCCTGCAGGCAGTCCCAGGCTCCAGCACCTCACGGTTCTGTCAGACTTTGCATTGTGAAGGGTGGTGGGGATCAGCTGTCCCCATCCCTCAGCCCCACCACCATCCTGCCCTGCAGGGATATGCCCACTGTTGGCACRTGCCATGGGGACACGGCTCCCTGGGGCCTCAGCTGTCCCGGGCACCTCATCCCTACCGTCCCAGCCATAGCCCTGAGCTGGCGCAGCACCCCCAGCCTCCCWGGAGACATTTTCAGGACACCAAAAGATGCGGTGACACAAGGAAGCCGCTGTTCTCCTGTCACCATGGCGGTGACAGCACCGTCCCCAGGCAGTGCTGTGCCGGCCGCCGGGCGCGCGGCTGCGGGGTCTGGTCGGTGACCCCGAGTCGGAGCCGGTAACCCAACCCCACCAGTGCTGGTTACAATTTAGGGCAACAATAACCTATTGAGGCCCCTTCCTGGCTCCTGCCCCGCTGCTCCTTGATCTAATTAAAGGGGGCCAAGGGGGACAAAACCYGAGCCGAAGGAACAGCGGGTACCTGGGGGCGGCACATTGAGGACCAGGACGCAGAGAGGGGCTGGGGCCACCCGCACCTCTCATCTCCTGTTCCCTCAGGGTCTGAGCATGGCCAGGGTTGGCTCCTGAGCGCAGCCCTGGCACACTAGGGGTGCTTTGCAAATGAGGTTTGTGTGGTCAGAAATATCTCACYGGCTCAGGATTTGGGAAGGAGAACCCCCAAAAGGCACAGGCTGATGTGAGGGTGCACGGGGCTGGTGCCTCCCACTGTCTGCCCTCTTCCCCAGGGATGCTGGAGAGGGGCACAASCAGCCCGAAGGGTTTGGTGTGGCTGTGGGTATTGGGATGAGCACACTGGGGTGACCCCACCTCGGGGCACGCCATGGCCCTGCTTTGGGGTGTCACAGGGACGCGTGGTGCCGGCTCGGCGCGCGCGGTGGGGATGCGGTGGCGATGCGGACTCCCCTTCCTGCCGGCCTGGCGTCAGTAATGAATGGTATGAGTTTCCTGCCCGCCCACTGATTGCTTCCTCAAAGAGCCTCAACGAGCTGCTGCTGCTGCTGCTGCAGCTCCCCACGCCCTGCTCACAGCACGGCTGTCACCACTGCCCTGCCCGATGCATCTCCGTGCCCCCGCCGGGCACCCACAGCCACCGTGGAGATCCTCAGCCAGCCCCACTACTGCTCCTTCATCCCCTGAGGACTGAGTCCCTGTCCCCCMGTTCTAAGCCTGACCCAAGCAGTGCTTCCAAGGGCACCTGGTGACCCCTAGACCATCCACCCCGTGCCCTTGTCGCGGCTCCACAGCTCCTGAGTGTCGCAGCCCTGCTCGGGATGGCTCTGCCGGAGGGAGAGCACGGCCCCCGTTCGGCACCTCCGCCGGGAGCCAGCCCAAATCCCCCTCCGCCATTTGTCATCTCCGTCAGATTTACAGGCGGGAGCGGTTGGGGCTGGAAGCGCGGTGGCCCCGGCGTGGCTGCCTAAAAAAAGCACCTCCCCAGCACGGGGCGGGGGGGTCCCCGCTCACCCCCACCGCCCCCAGCCCCTCTCGGCTGGCCCCGGCGTGACGCGCAGGCAGCGCCCGCCAGCCGCATTCCTGCGCCGATAAACCCGGCAGCCAAAATAACTGCAGCCTGTGCTGAGGGGGCCGAGCGCAGGCGCGCCTGCATCCCATTTAGCCCGGCTGGCTCGCTTCGGCCCAGCGAGGATTTGGGGTAATTCCCACTGGATTCATCTCCAAGGGCATTTATGGACCCCAAGGCGTCCCCTTGCAGCACACTGTGTGCCTCAGCCACCCCTGGGAGCGCTCACTGGACACTGATGATGGCCTTTGCCCACTGTGCTGGCAGAGCTGGCGAGCAGGAGAG